AATTAAGGAGAAAAATGTCCCCACAATCCAAATTTTCGATCAGAAGTTATTAAATTAATAGGTTTTTTAGACTTAAAAATATGTTTGTTGGCCTGTCCTTAACCATTTTGGTTCTTAAATAATTTTGTTTTATTTAAAAACGCTTGAGCTAAAACCACTCTTGGAAAAATAGTAAAATACAATTTGCACGACCGGTTTTTCTAAACGAGTCAATTTAAACGGTCTACGTGTCGTTTGGAAGGTATTTTAAATTATTAAGTATTTTCTTCTTAATAACATCCTGAATGAGGATTTTTTTCCAATTTATTCCTTATTCGTTTTATGGCTCTTGAGGTTCCTTATTTATTGAAATATAAAACATGTGCATAAAAAAAAAAAAGTTAAAAGTGTGGAAAAACATTTCGCAGACAATTATTATAAATTTCAGTCAAAAGTTTGCAACGCAGTGAAGGAGACATTTCCGACCCTAGAAAGTATATATATTCTTGATCAGCACCAGGAGAGTCGATCTAGCCATGTCTGTCCGTCCCTCCGTACGTTTCTACGCAAACTAGTCTCTCAGTTATAAAGCTTTGGTTAAAAACTGCTTCCCAAAAGTTGTCTTTCTATTGCAGTTAGTATATAATTCGGAACGAGCCGAAACGGGCGACTATATCATATAAGTCCAACTATGTTGTTTTTATACCCTTGCAGAGGGTATTATAATGTTGGTCAAAAGTGTGCACAGCATTGAAGGAGACACCTACAACCCTATACAGTATATATATTCTTCATCAGGATCGCATCCTGAGTTGATAAGCATGTCCGTCTGTCCGTCTGTCTGTTTCTACGCAAACTAGTCTCTCAGTTTTAAGGATATCGAATTGAAACTTTGCACACACCCTTCCTTCCTTTGCACGCAGTATATAAGTCGGAACGGCCGGGATCGGGGGACTATATCCTATAGCCGCCATATAACTGGACGATTGGAAATGCCATAACTTTGGTGTTTTTAAAGTTAGGAAGTTGGGATTTTTTATGAGTATTAAGAATGCATCATATGAATAAATTTGGAGAATATAATTCACAGAATATTCTGCAAGGGTATATCAACTACGGCTCACCCCGAAGTTAGCTTTCCTTTCTTGTTTTAATTTTTTTTGTACTTTGGGATTTGGTAATATTTAAATACTATGGAATATAGCTCCCATAGGAAAATCAAAAAATTAAAAAAATAAAAATAAATGTATTTTGCTGTTTTTCTTTTTATTAAAATGTTCCTTTGATATATATTAATTATTTACTATATCAGAATTTCGCTTTTATTTTTGTCAAAATCGGACACCAATATCATAGCTGCCATAAAAACGATGGCAAAATGCTGCGAAAAATCGAAATAGCTGCATTGCTTTTAGTAATTTAGGCATAGAAATCGAAATGTAGTCGTTGCTTGCCGAAGTTTGCTTTCTTCCTTGTTTGAATTTTATTACAAAAATTTAATTTTTCTTTTTATTTTTAAAATTTTTTTTAATATACGTGATTTTTAATATCGATTTATAAATATAAATAATATTATATGAATATCGGATATTTCGTTTAGAATTTAAGGACTAGAATGCGAACTCCAGGGTGCTAGGCAGTCGCATAACTGGAAATCCGATTTTTTTTCTGCTTGCCGCAACTCGTCATCGGGTTAGTGTGTGGTAAGGTCCGAATGCGAGTGCAAATCCAAAAGCAATGCTGAGAGCTGTTTGCGAAATAGCTTGGTCGCTTTTTGTTCTAATTTTGATTTTTGGCTCATTGTGCGTAGTCAGTTCGCTTCTGGGCCTCTGGGAAATTGGGCTTGGGGATGGCCAGAGAGCGGTCTTGGCTCCTGTCATGTGGCATAGTCCTAGGCATTTTATTTATGCGTGAAATGCTCTTAAATCTCCAAACTTGCATCGTTCTGTTCCACTCTGTTCGTTAGTCCGTCCGTCTGCGAGTCTATGTGAGTGTCCGGGGCCCACTTCAGCGTCCGGAAATTAAAACTTTTTTATGGCACTGGTATTTTGTGTGTAAATAAAGCAACACATTTAAATGTTGTGTGTGTTGATAAATAAATTGGTCAGAGCAATACATTTGTGCAGCAAGCCAAGTAGTTAAAGATTACTTGCGCTAGCACTAAATCTACGAGCACGCAGCATTTTTGAATTGATTAGCGCAGAGTTATTTTAAGATTTTAGATTTCAAATATATTTTCTATATGGCCAGATTTCAAACCACCCCCTCCAATCACATATTTAGTTTTTTTAAATTGGTAAATCATATAAAAAAAGAAGCTAACTCGGGCGGAGCCGAGTTGTCTTGCGAATTCTCTTATAATATTTCCAATTATTCCTTGATGCATTCTTATACTTAAACCACTCTATTTAAAACAAGTTTGGCATTTGATCGTTCGTTATATGGCAGCTTGGATATAGTCGGCGATTATGGAGGTGGATTGATTGGCCAATATAAACCATGAAATATTTTACTTTACAAACCAAGTTATGGCATTTCGATATAGTTATATGGAGTATAGGATACGATGAATTTGGTACGTCGGATTGATTGGCAATTATACCCAAGGTTCTACTTAACAACAGAGTGGCATTTCGATATGTTTTATGTGACGTCGACTTTATACTGCTGAGGAAGAGGGTGTGTGAGTTTATTGTGTTTAAACTGAGAGCTGTTGCGGAACAGACGCGGCGACGGACGCGGCTGGTTTACTGGGGTGATCCTGTCAGATATATATACTTTTGGGTCGGGTGCTTGTTTGAAATTATAATACCTCTGCGGGTTATTATGTTTTGGCGAATAATGTAACTTTAAGTGCACTGTGTTTTTTTACGTGGTATAAATTATGTTGGGATGATTTTAAGGAATTTATTTTGTGGATATGTGTATATTTTGTATGTATTTTTATGAAGATTAGTCGTTTTAAAACGGGACTTTTAATTGTTGTTTTATTTACCTTGAGAAAATAGTTATTTTGGTTTTTCCACGTTTGTAGTTTTTAAGTATATTATATCTCTATTAACTCTCATATCCTTTTTATGAATGAATAAATATTTTGGTTTAAAACATAATGGACGAATAAAGTTAAAATAAATGACATGTAAACCCCATTATGATCATTTTTGTCTGAACAATTGTTTTTAGAAATGATATTAAAGGAGCTATGGGGAGCCAGTTATTCTGGAATATTTGTAATAATATTTAATTATTTATATGAATTCTTAATACTTAAATCCCACTCCTACTTTAAAAACCAGATGTTTTCATTTGGGCTTGGATTGTGCCATTGGTGGTATTGATTGAATATAAACCCATAAAACCACCCCTTACCAGTTGGCTTCGATATGTTTGGGATAATGTGGCCATCTATGAATTGGTCGTGGTTTGCAAATAATACCGCACTCCTTAAAAACAGGTTTGGTTTCGATAATTTATATGGTTATTGTCGCGATCCCGGCCGTTCGACTTATACTGCGTAGGGGTGGTGGTTTATTGATGTTTAAAAGGAGTTGCGACCCTGCTTTCGCCTTTTTTGTGCTTTTGGTTTTTTCAATTATGTTTTCGGCGAATTAAATGTAACTTTAAAAGCTGCAACTGTGTATTTTTTCACATAACAGCTGGCTAATAAATTATGTATCAGGAAGATAGAAATTTTTAACGAGAGAATTTATTTCTGTAGAGATATGCATGTAATATGCTTGTATGCATATTTTCTATGCAAAGATTAAGTCGTTTTAAAACGGAGTACTTTTTAATTGTTGTTTTATTTACTTTGAAGAAAATAGTTATTATCTGGTCTTTCTACCACGTTTGTACGTTTTTTCAACAGATATATTATCATCCACATCCTATTAAAACTCTGACAATATTCCTTTTATATGAATGAATAAATATTTTGGTTTAAAAACAATAAATGAGACAGAATAAAAGTTAAAAATAAATGACATGTAAAACCCCATTATGATCAAATTTTTGTCAATGAAACAATTGTTTTCTAGAAAATGATAATTAACAAGAAAGGAAAGCTAACTTCGGGCGGAGCCGAAGTTGATATACCCTTGCAGAATATTCTGTAAATAATATTCTCCAAAATTATTCATATCATGAATTCTTAATACTCATAAAAAATCCCAACTTCCTAACTTTAAAAACACCAAAGTTATGTCATTTCCGATCACTCAGATATATGGCGGCTATAGGATATAGTCGGCCGATGAAATTTGGTAGGTCGGATTGATTGGCCAAATATAAAACCCATAAAAAATCCCAACTTCCTAACTTTACAAACACCAAAGTTATGGCATTTCCGATCGTTCAGTTATATGGCAGCTATAGGATATAGGGGGTATGGTTAATTCGGCCAAAAAAAAGGCATATTTTCATGAACTTTTTTACGCGATACGGTTAATGTCAGATCAATTATTTTATAACCATGTAAAAGTAAAACATTTAAACTTCGTTTTCACAAATTTTCATAAAAAAAAAAAAAATGAGCCGTACACAGCAAAGTTCCGTAGGCGCCTCCAAGAAAAAAGGTTTTGCGGTGAACAGCAGAACTCGTTACTGGATCATAAGAAAAAACCAAAAAAAATTGTTCATTAGTTAATATGTTTCTAGAGGTAACTACGTTGAGTTTTTTTTTTATTCATTTTTTGGATTTTTGTATACACTTTAAAGTCAAAAACGTGATTTTAGCCTAAAAATTCGATATGCTTGTTATTATAAAATGAAAAAAAAATAATAATTAAAAAAAAAAAACTCGACGTCAGTACCTGCGGATTCGTTAAGTAGATTTTGCAGGATCGTGTTCACCGACTTTGAAATTGCAACTTTTCAGGAGAGCGTTTTTAAAGTTTTATACATCGAAAAATCGCATACAAAACGAGCTAACTTTTGTATTTTACAATACACTCCAAGAATAGCAGAAATAAAAACAAGAGGGACCAAAGCCGAGGCTCCGTTGGGAATTAAGAAGCACTCACCTTATCCGTTCCACATTAAATCATTTCGGAGGCGCTTTCTGCCGCGCAATCACTACTTCTCGGCGATTAGTAGCAGCATCTTGTTCATCAGCTCATTAGCTACAGTCTCATGCAAAGTGTTTAGTCGGGCGGCCAGAAAGTCGCCAAATTTCATGTAGAGAAGTTCCCTGGACGTGGGCATATGGCGTGCCTGGGAGTGGGATCGACCCAGGCCCCTGCCGCAGCCCCCACCCTCTCCAGTGTAGCTGCTTCCGGCCGAGAGCCTGTCGTCGACACCTATCATGTCCGATTGATCGACGACTGGCAAGCAGTTACCGGCTACGTCGTCATCCTCGTCGAAGTCGTCCAGATCCTCCTCCAGATCACCGGCGTCGGCGTCGATAAGCTCGTTATTGGCATTGATGATCAAATGGGGCGGCGACGTGGCGTACGCCGATGTGTTTTTGGGTGCTGGCAGCTGCAGCCGCGCCTTGAGTTGCTCTTTGGTCTGTGGACGAATTGTGGCCAATTTCTTTCGCGTCCCCTCTCGCCCATTACCGGGCAGCCCTTCGTCCTGGCACCTTACTTCGGGTGAGCCCGGCTCGTCCTTGATGTAAATGGAGGGCGAAGAGCTGCAGGAGCGCGAGCTGGACAACAACTGGGCGGGCGAGATGTGGGACAGCGGCGTCGTCGCCGGCAGAGAAAGAGAAGGCTGTTTCTGCAGCGAGGTCAGCGTTACGTCCGGCTGCAGCTGAAGCGCTTGAAGGTGCTGGGCCTGTTGTTGCAGGGCAGCGGGCAATTGGCTGAGGTTGAGACTTAGACTCGGAATGGCCACCGCTGGCACGCTGCTCTTTGGCGCTGGCTGCGGCTGGGGCTGATTGTTCGGGTTGTTGGGGTCGCTGGGGGCAAAGTACTGATACTCGTCCAAGGCCGCACTGCTGCTGTTGTTGTTACTGCTGTTACGGCTGACGTTGTTGGTACTGTTGTTGTTGTTGCTGCTGCCGGTGGGCGCAGGAGCGGAGTCCAGCGATCCGTGCTTGATGCGTTCGCGGGATCTGAAAGAAGAAATGTATAATTAACATTCTGGGAAAAACCTGCGGCTTGCAGTGAGAAGAAGCAAGTCAGTATCAGTTCTACTATTATTTGAAATGTATAGATATTTAGCCAACCGTTTTTTGTGTGTACTTTACTCTTGCAGAAGGTATGTGTTATAATTTTGTAATGCATTGCAGGAGCCTTCTTGACCTATAAATTATATATTATTATTATTTTAACAGGGATACTATTTTTTAACAAAGTAACACGTCTATAAGCTTGACCAAAGCGTTACTTCTTTTATTTTAATAAATTAATACAAGATTGAAATTGCTTGCGGAATTTAAGTAGGTAAATAAAGTTACAACGATTTCCCTAACCAGCTGTTCAAAAGTAACGTAATCCCCTTTTCTTAGCTTTTTTTTAAGTACAAAAATGTGAATATGCTCAGAAATTTGTAATACAATTTTATTTTTGTTTTATTTGAAACTTATAACAAAAAAATCAAACTCGAAACATTTTTGTTATAACTTATATTTTAATTTGTTTTGGCTTTTTAATTGGTGCAAGACGTGAAATCTGTCAGTATCATAAGAATTCCCGAATACTTTTTTGGTTTGCCTGTTTTTAATGATTTTAGAACACAAAATTGTAAATAAGTTAAACAAAAAAAAAACTGAAGAATATGAAGATTAATATTTGTTAATTTTACGGATCTTGATAATGACTATAAAAAGAAAACCCAAAAAAATGCTTTTTATGCTACAAATGTCACGACTTAATGTACAAGAAATTAATCGATTCGAAGCATCGATATTCTGATGCTACTACAAAGTTTACCTAGGAAGCCCTTGATTTTTGTATACATTCTCAGCTTAGGCCCTTTGTGAGTTGTTCGAAGATTTTCACAAAGACAAGTGTAATAATGGCCAATTAAATAAGCCAAGTATTTATTCATTTTATTAATAGAAACATTTTTACCCAGATTCAAAAACTATCTTCATGAAAAAATTTTAACAACCAACGAACAAATCTGTAAGACGATTACTATTTCGATTCCATTGCATGACCATTTCATTACGTAGTGGACAACGCCTAAATTGAATAAATGGGGGGAGGTGGTCAAAAATTTACAAAACTACATTGACTAAACAAATTTGACAAAATTTTAAATTAAATAAAATTAAAAAATCAAAAATATGAAATTTGCGTGCAGGAGAATTTAAAAATATTTAAATGAGTTCACTTTTTTTTTATTATTGTCTATAGCTCGATAAATCTCAGTTTTTAATAAACTATGACGTATTTTCTTTTTACGATCAATTAAGTATTTATTTTTTGGACTGCCCGCGGAATTTTTAGATATCCAACAATTTTTCTTTTATGTCATCTAAGACTTTTTATAAGAAATGGTCATGCTATAAAAAACAAGTAATCATGTAAAACCGTAAAATATGTCGGAAATATTGTTGGCCTTAACGATATTTCGAATATGTGGAATTAACATTGGCTTAATCAAATTATTATTTTTTAATCAAACTTATTTTCGATCAACCATTTAACTACGTTTTTGCATATAATTAGATTTCTAGTGATAAAGTCATATCTGAACAGCCCCTAAGTTTTCGACATTCTCTGCAAGTGTGTAAAGTAGAAAAGTAGAAAGGTTTGCCCAGTATCTCTATACAGTTAAGAAGGCCTTGTTACTTGCGCTCCCTAATGACCTCCTTGAGGAAGGCCATAGCATCGTAGTACTCCCACTTGGACTTGAATCGTGTCGTGCCCAGCATCTTCTCGTGGTTCAGCTCGCGGCGGAAGATCTCGCGGAGCGATGTAAAGGTGCGCTGCACCCGCTCTCCATTGACATTGAAGAGCCGCCCCAGCTCGTTCCACTTGATGGCCTTGCGCTTGTCGGAGCGCTTGTAGTGGGGCAAGCGGCAGTCCCAGAGGATGGGGTTCAGGCGCACTAGCTCGATGAGTCGGCGCTTCTCGATGTTGTGGCGGGAGAAGGCCATGGTCCTTCGCTCTTTCAGGCGCTATTAGCCAAACTGCAACTACCAAAGAAGCCACTGCGCATGTCCTGTGTCGCTGGATGCTGCGCTGCGAAGTGAGCAAGGAAATGAAGTGAGAAAATCGTTAATATTAGCTTATGCTGATGGTTGCAATGGCCGTTGCATACTTTACGGCGCTTTTCTTGGGTGGTCGTTACTGGGGTTCAGAGGTGTTGATTCACGCACCCACGCACCCTAAGTGCAATGACCTCAGCAGGTGGGGGTAGTATTTGTTTTTGAAATAAATAAATACATTTGGTTTGGAGACCATTGGACTGAGGCATGAAAAAGCAGGGGACAAATCAAATATGGAATTGATTACGGTCTGGCTGTTGGCAGGGGAAAAAACTTAAAGCATACCCTTCCCACTCCCCGCACATTAATAAATTTCGCTTGTATACAAGTGGAAGTTCGCATAAGTGGCTGTTAGCTAAACAATAATCGAACAGTGTAAACAATGGTGTTCTAGGAACCCGAGGTGAATCCGACTCGGCGAGAAAGTATTTATTTATGGGACGATCGAGTTATTTCCGCAGCTACTGTCGATCTAAGGCGAACTGAGAGAGGTCATCCAACAATAGGGATTGGTAGGACCTCACGCTCTCTTTATCGTTTTTTCTTTGAGTTTTCCGAAATTTTTAGTTGACTTGTTTGCAATTGGTCTTGCAGTGCAGACACTCACTAATGGGAACACACTGGCAGCTATAAATAAACGCATGTGCAGCTTTGTTGTAACTGCCACGCACTAGCTGTGATACCAACATTGAGATATTCACTTATTTTCGGCCGGAATTTTTCGGATTTTTATGGTTGGTTCTTGCCCGCTCTACGCTCTACGAATTCACACAAAGTCGTTTGCCGCCTGGCATGGAACTAAAAACCACATTTGCTCACTTTATTGTTTACTGCCGCTGGTTCCACTGTAGCCCGTCCGCTCTTTATTAACAATATGAGCAGCAAGTCGGGGAATTTATTTCAATTTATTTCAATTAACAACAAACGCGGCTGTCGTTGCGGCTGTTGTTGTTCTGCCGAGCGTCGCAGTTGCTGCCACTTATTGGGGATGCTGCTGTTGTCTGTTGGAAGTAGCTCGAAGGGCCTTGCCACAACTATTGGCTGCCACAGATACAGACACAGATATTCGGCAACACGGCAAAATTAACACACTCGCACACACTTGCACGGCCCTAATGCCAGTGTGCGTATACACACTATTTAGGCGGGCGGATGAAAACAGGCAACAACAATCAAACCAAACCAAAAAAACGAAAACGGTCGAAAACTTCAGCGGCAACGGTCAACTAACTTGCGATTAGCACTAGTGGCACTGTTCACATTTTGGTACTTCCACTTGCCACTTTTCACTCGTCACCTCTCACTGGCCGTTGGCAGCTTCCTTGCGGAGAGTGCGCCGCTGCTCTCCTCGTCGATTTTCACAACTGCAAACGAAACGAACTTAATTTTCTTGCAAATTGGCGGCGCAGCACAGCAGCCGCCGCACAAAGAGAGCCGGACGCGAGAGAGTGGAGAGCGAGAGCTCTCGCTTTTCCACCGCGCCGAGAGAGTGCGAGTTTGTGAGAGAGCCGCTGGGGCTGAGGATGCTGATGCTTTTAATATTCCGCCTCCGCTGATGTAAACAATTCAGAGAATAGCCGAGGACCTGCTGCCAATCCGATGCTTATTTACACTGTACAACATCGAGAATTCATCACCGAGAAAACATCCACGTTTTTTAAAATGGTGGTATTCACGACAAAGTACAAATATAAATTATTATAGGTTTTACTCACCTTTTTTCAGAATTAAGAATTTTTCGTTGGAATCTTTTTTTGGAATGTTTCGTCGTTAAAAGTTATTGTTATTATGCGTGGATGTACACCCATTTCGGATCATTTGGCCGGCTTCCGGACCAAATTGGTAGCCTGTTGCTTGGCTTACCTTATTGCAAATGTAGGAGATATCAATCATATTTGGACGGCCACTGTGCGGCTTATTTTCCAAGCAGGTAAAATTTTCGAAGTTTTTATATATGAATTGTACTAACCAACGAAAGGTATCATGTTAACTTTTGTCAGACCCTTTTTTTATTTATTTGTTAACATCTTTGAAAGTTGATGTTAAAAAAATATTAATATGTTAAATATTTATTTGGCTTTCGACTACTTATTTCCAAATAATATTCAGATCTCTCAAAATAAAACCCATTTTTCATGAATTATATTTGTATATTCTTGGATGCAGAAAGATTTGAAATATGATGCTCCGATTTGGCATATATTATAAAGTCGATTTATAAGAAATTCGAAATTGAAACATAAAAAAAAGATTTATAGTTTGTTCTATTTTAACGGAATCGAAAATGTCCTTTTTTAAAAAGAAATTATTTTAATAATTAATTATCGATTAAAGCGAAGGTAAAATCTGACAAAATGTATTATACAATCTTAAAATAAATTTTTTTTTAATTAAAGACAAAATAATATTTTACTCAGACAATATCCTGTCTAATAATTTAATGAAGAGACTTTTAAAAAGGTTCTCTAAGATTTGTACCTAACAGATTGCCAGGGCTGAACCACCGTAAATATATTTTGACTTTTAAAAGCTTATGTTACTTTCATCCAAAATTCGTGTTTAAAATATTTACAGAAAGTCGTTTCTGATAGAAAGTAGATTATGGCAACTATCTGGGGTATCAACGATAGTTTATGTCAACAAGTTGGAACAAAAGAAGAACAAACATCAAATTTTGTAAGACAGTGCTATTTTATGCGGAGAGCACTTATCGTCACTGCGCTGCCGTTTGTGGCAGTGGCACGTTATCGCCGCTCTGTTGCGAGTGAGTAATCCAAAGAGTGATAGCAAGAAGTGTTTTGAGTGGAATTCGCTAACCACAAGCGGGATAAATTAAGAACGCTAGAGCCCAGGATTGGCAGCACAAGAGGAACCCAAAGCAACAATTGTAAGTTGAAGCAACAGCTTAGTGGGGAGAGTGACTTGACTAAGAGAGCAAGGGTTGTATTTTGGTAGCTAACTTGCGGGGCTGGGTTAATGCAAAAAGGGGGATTGCTCGCTCACTACCGCTAACAATGGTAGTCACTCACTCTCTCCGCTCTCTATTCGTCATTTATCATCCCATTTTGCTGCTCTGTGGATGCGGACATTAACAATGCGAACAAACACAAGCGCTACGCACACACTCGTAGGCAAATATTCAATTTGCCACTGCTGCAATCAACTTTATTACCCGCTGTTGCTCTTGTTTACTCATTGTTGTCTCCCGTTTGGTCATCTGAAAAATAAGCCTTAAAAACGTACTCACATTTATCAATCGCACCAACACAAACACAACCAGTCCGTGTTTTCGCTCTCCCTTTTCTTTTTCAACAGAACTTATCAGTATGCGTTCTCGGCTCTGATGAATCTGCAATCGAGTCGAACACGGTCCACAGCTTAAATTAAATCAATTACTGCCATGTATGTAAATCCGTGACACATAAATATTTTGGGAGGCAAAAAGATGGTACTGGCTAGATAGCTCGGTCTAGCCGATAGCGAGGTAGGAGATTCCAGGCGTTACATACAAAGTATCTGACAGCAAATTTGTCGATGAAAAATGAGTATAATTTGGACTAAGCAATACCATTTTTTAAAATTTTCTCAATCTATGCAATGCAAAAAATTTTTTAACTTCTTGACTGCATAAAATTTTTTTTTAAAATCAACTCCAACTACGATTAAATGCTTCATAAAGCATTTGCCGTCAAAAACCTCTTACATGTGGATAAAAATTGCTTTATTAAATATTGTCTTCTTTTTTTTGTAAGACCATTTTAAGAAATTTTGACACTAGTTCATAAATTTCGAACATTTCTGCAGTTATTACAAAACGACTACATTTCGATTTGTATCCCTATATTACTTAAAACTATAGTTTCATCCAAACTGAAAGACTGTTTTAAAGCTATTTAAATGTAACTTTCCCCAAAAGTCTTCTTTCTTTTGCAGATAGTCCATAATAGAATAAAATAAATAATTGAAAAAGCAATGTTAACTTGGTTTTTTTTTCAAACGTATGAGTACTTTTTTATATCATCAAAAATTTAATAAGGTATTGCTGATTAACAGGCTCGGATATAGTGGTACACCGAAAGTTATCGTTTCGAAAGAAAATACTGTTTTTTAGTCTTGTTGCACTCTTATTCCGAATATGCATCGAACAGTTAGTCTTAATCTGCACTTTTCCGCACTATTGGTGGAAATGTAATTTTTCCCAGGTAACCTCACTTTTTCCAACATGGATTTGTTCGCTGTATGGAATAGGCAATACAATGCTTTTTCTAACGCCATTTAAACAACAATGTGGACAATGCAATTTAAAAAGAAACAAGAAAGGATATTAACAAACAAGAAAGATATTAGAAATCGACTACATTTCGATTTCTATGCCTATAATACTAAAAACAATGAAGCTATGTCAATTTTGCGCTGCATTTTGCCATCGTTTCTATGACAGCTATATTATATTGTTGTCCGATTTTAATTTAATTAAAACCATAATTCAATAATATTTAAATATTGCAAAATCTCAAAAAAAAAAAAAAAAATTAAAAACAACAGAGTTAAATTTTTTAAAATTGTTTTTTTCCGATTGTTCCTATGGGAGCTATATGATACAGTCGCCCGATTCGGCTCGTTCCGACTTATATACCACCTGCAAGACAACTTTTGGGAATGTTTCAAGCAGATAGCTTTAAAACTGAGGGACTAGTTTGGGTAGAAACGGACAGACGGACATGGCTATATCGACTCTCCTAGTGATGCTGATCAAGAATACATATACTTTATAGGGTCGGAAATAAAAAGACTGAAATTATAATACCCTCTGCAAGGGTATACAAAAAAACTGTTAAATTAAAATTGTATTGTTTTTTAATTTCTTTGTACAGCGGAAGACTTGTCTGGCCAAAGTAGTTGAGAATATCTTTTAAGGGCTCTTTCCCGCAAATACATATTTGAATTTTTATTGCTTTTCAACAAACCCAGCTAATTGACAGTACAACCGTAGCACGTTTAATTCTGATAACTCACTAAATTTTGGTCACAATGGAAAGATTAAATTTTTTCCGCTAGCGAACTCGGTTGTGGATCTGAGTACTAGGCTTAAAGTTCTTGCAGGTTTGGCAAAGCCTAGTACATTTTTCCCTTTTTTTCACCCCGGTATTCAGATCGTCGAAAAAATACCAGAAAATAGCATAGCGTTGCCAGTCTGCTGAAATGAACCTTGGGTGAACGTTCGTCAGGCCCTAGCGAAAAGATTTAAAAATTCAATTTTTTAATGAAATGAATGCCAAATTAGTTGAGAATATGCGTTAAAGGATTTTTTCCGCAAAGAATATTTTTGAATTTAACTGCTTGTACTTTCTACTTTTTGCAAAAGTAAAAATAATAAAAGAGAAATAAATTAACTTATAATTAATTAATAACAGTTTAAACAAAATTATCTGTAATTTCAAGAAAAGATTGTTCATTTATTTTTATTTATTAAAAAACAGAAAAATGCTATTAAAATATGAGCCAAAATAATTTATACGGTTCACTTGTTTTGTCAATCGCACGTATAAAGGGGCGGAGATCTAAATCAAGTTTCAGTTCCATTTTTTATCCGTGAAACGAGTCCACTGCTTAGTATCCCATTTGAAATTCGGCCGTCAATTGACACGGTCATTAATGTGCATCTCAGGTGCTCCAAAAAGTTAATTAAGAAATTTACCCAGTGGAACGTCAATTAATAAAACCAATCCAACAAGAGCGCTATAATGCAAACGGTCTTATGCTTTCCCTCGGTTCATTTGGCTGAACGTCAATCGGATGCCTCCAGACGTGTGTGGATTAGGCAGAGCAAGTCGATCGAGATGTAGACTTAATGGATTTTTAATGGAAGCATGGGGCAAACTGCTGTAGAGGAAAGTGGGAAACGAAAAAATCTGCAAGAAAATCTCCGACAAAACTGATAAAAAAAATTGTTGAGGCCGTGCAGCGACCTCCAGCTGTTTCCTAAGACCCCGGTCCCCATGTGTCTCCCATTTTTTGTTAGCCCTGTCGGCTTATGAGGTGGACGGACTCAAGCCGATTTCACCTTTAATACGTCACCTCCATTTGCCTGCCTCGCATTTGAATTGCATTGCTGCTGAAAAGACACAAAGAGCAAATCCTATATACTAAATATTAATATAGAAGGCCCGACCTGGGTCAGGGTGCTGGTCGATTATACCAAGGTTGGGTACAACGATAATTTAAAATATTTCATAAGTTTGCGCTCGAAAAGTTTTTGCTTGCAGAAAAGTTTCTGCATCTGGCTTTTTGAGAGTTTGACTTTGACGTTTCCTGTGTGCTTCTGTTTCTTTTGGCAATTCGCTGCTAATTGGGTATGTTAAGAGAACCAGGCAAAGGTAATACATTTCCGGAACTGACTTGTCCATTAAATAGTGCACAAACATCAAAGGAAAACTCATTTTGGGGAGTGGCAGCCGCTTATCGGCATAAATTGGTACACATAGAAAAATGATTCAATCGGGTTCGTTTTCATAAAAGAAATTATCCCACACAGGGAATACCAATTTGATATTCTCAAATATATGCCTAATACTCAGATCGAAAAACAAGTTCGCCAGATGATATAGTTTAAACCTGGTACTCAGATTGAAAAACAAGTTCGCCAGTGGAAAAAGTTGAATCTTTCCAGTGTGAGGAAATTCTGTCAAAAAGAGTTAGGACCTAACAAACGTCTACCCAAAGAAAAAATACTGAACTTTGGTGAACGTTCGTTCGTAAAAATAAAATCAATAGCCGAGTCGATTAAGCCATGTGAACATCCGTGTGAACGTCGAGATCTCGGAAACTACAAGAGCTAGAGATTTGGTATTTAGCATGAAGATTCTAGATTTTCTTACACAGGGCAAGTATTTTTATACCCTTGCAGAGGGTATTATAATTTCAGTCAAAAGTTTGCAACGCAGTGAAGGAGACATTTCCGACCCTATAAAGTATATATATTCTTGATCAGCATCACCAGGAGAGTCGATCTAGCCATGTCCGTCTGTCCGTCTGTCCGTCCGTCCGTCCGTTTCTACGCAAACTAGTCCCTCAGTTTTTAAGCTATCTGCTTGAAACTTTCCCAAAAGTTGTCTTTCTATTGCAGGTAGTATATAAGTCGGAACGAGCCGGATCGGGCGACTATATCATATAGCCGCCATATAACTGATTGATCGGAAATGCCATAACTTGGGTGTTTGTAAGGTTAGGAAGTTGGGATTTTCTATGGGTTTTATTTTTGGCCAATCAATCCGACCCACCAAATTTCATAGGGATCGGCCGACTATATCCTATAGCGGCCATATAACTGAACGATTGGAAATGCCATAACTTTGTTGTTTTTAAAGTTAGGAAGTTGGGATTTTTTATGAGTATTAAGAATGCATCATATGAATAATTTTGAAGAATATAATTTACAGAATTTTCTGCAAGGGTATTTCAACTTCGGCTCCGCCCGAAGTTAGCTTTCCTTTCTTGTTTGACATTGTCCTTTGTAACCGCATCGGAAGGCCTGCCGCTGCGGACTTCTTCGGTAATGGAGTTGCGGCCACCACGAAACTCTCGAAACCAATATTTCACGGTGTAATCTGACGGAGCATTTGCCCCATAATATTTGTCCAATTTTTCTATTGTTTCCTACGCCGTTTTGCCTCTCAAAAATAAATGTTTTATGAGAGAACGAAAATCGTTTTTGTCCATATTTAATATGATGCCAAACACGTCAACAACAATCAGCTCCCAAAACGAAACTAAGGGCAGTATCGACCTGAAATTTGGTATGCTTGCCCAAATATGAACGCACCGTAAAGGAACCATAACCTTCTTTGTAGTAGTAGCGCATTCTGGCCGTCAAGGAGGTTACTTTTCACCCCACCTAGTACGTCGTATCTAATCGCAGAATCATCTAAATTGAAAAATTCAAATGGCATTATTTAAAGTACGAATTTCCCCAGGTAACGCTTTCTAGTTTTTATTTTTTAATTTTTTTCCAATTTTTAAAAACAAGTCAAACACCTCCATTTTTGCCCAAAAATCCGAGTTGTAAAAATAATAAATTTTACCTAAGCGTTAGCTGAGGAATTAAGTAAAGAAGTACTGTACAAAATTTCAAAACGGTTCGTCCAATTGACTTTGAAAATGGCAAATTTTCAGGAGAGCGTTTTAAAGTTTGGGACCCCCAAAAATCAAATATAAAAGGAGCTACCTACGTTCAACAACCCATAACTTCGGAAGTTTTACTCGGATCAATCTAAAATTTTATGAAGGAGCAGTTGTATATTGCCCAAACTGGGTTGACGTGCATTATCGTATCGTCAACAAAAGTTTAAAAGTTGCTGAACGTATTGAATAAAAATTGCATCTCAATGAAAATTCTTTTGTAATACTACAACAATTTCTAATATGTTTGGCGTATGCAATAAGCATTAATAAAATATCGGTAATAGTATATTTGCAAATGGTCACACATATCTAGCATTATTTCGCTTAAAAAGTAAAACTTGCTTTAAAAAAAAAGGTTTTAATACAAATTAATACCCAGATAAAATAGTTCCAAAATGAAAGACTGATAATTAAGCCTTAATACTTAGTATTTGTGGTATGAGAAGCCAAAATGACTTTACTTTTCGGTGTCTTAAAAATTTGAGATTTACCAAGGTATAATTTATTAAAACATAAATACATTTTAAATGCACAATTTTTACAATAAACAAACTCTTAATTTATTGCAGAAAATATACATATATATGTCTGATTTACGGTCTAGAATTTTGATAACATTGACCATCAAGACAGGATAGGTATTCTACGAAAGCTTTTGAAATTTCGTTTTTTTGCTTCCCGGTCATAGTATTAGAGTACTTTGCTGTAAGGATTGAAATAGTCTACACTAACGTAAAAAATATTTAAACAAGAAAGGAAAGCTAACTTCGGACGGAGCCGAAGTTGATATACCCTTGCAGAATATTCTGTAAATTATATTCTTCAAAATTATTCATATGGTGTATTCTTAATACTCATAAAAAGTCCTAACTTCCTAACTTTAAAAACACCAAAGTTATGGCATTTCCGATCAATCAATTATATGGCGGCTATAGGATATAGTCGTCCGATCCTTATGAAATTCGGTAGGTCGGATTAATTGGCCAAAAATAAAACTCTTAGAAAATCCCAACTTCCTAACTTTAAAAACACCAAAGTTATGGCATTTCCGATCGTTCAGTTATATGGCAGCTATATGATATAGTGGCCCGATCCGGCTCGTTCCGACTTATATACTACCTGCAATAGAAAGACAACTTTTGGGAAAGTTTCAAGCAGATAGCTTTAAAACTGAGGGACTAGTTTGCGTAGAAACGGACGGACGGACAGCGGACAGACGGACGGACAGACGGACGCGGACAGACGGACGGACAGACGGACATGGCTAGATCGACTCTCCTGGTGATGCTGATCAAGAATATATATACTTTATAGGGTCGGAAATGTCTCCTTCACTGCGTTGCAAACTTTTGACTGAAATTATTATACCCTCTGCAAGGGTATAAAAATGTCAGGTATAGCATATTTAATTTAGGGGTGACAAGAAACTTGATTACATTTTATAAATAACTAAAATGCAACTTATAAAAGCACAATATTTTGGCGGTAATTTCTCTCAATGCACCAACTGTTGACCAAAGACCTTGGGAAGCTAATTTCAATCTATTACTAAACGAAAATTCAACTTGAACTCGTTGATAACCTTTTTGGCCTGTGCCGGCTACAAAAAGTCAAGCGCTCAATTACGTAACTTTATGTTTGGTGCAAAAAAAATGTTTTATTTACTCTTTTCCAGCTGCTTTCGGTCCTTTCCCTGGTTTTGGACCAAGAGCCAAGAGCCGAGAACCTAGAGCTGAGAGCTACGACCAGGACCGCTGCAGTATTGTAATTTGGCTGGCAGTCCGCAAAGCCAACCAAAGAAAACAAAGAAATCAGAGGAAAAATCAACTTTGTGCAAATAAATGCAAAATAATATTACGAAAAGTTGACCGTAAAAAGATGCCGGCCCAGTCGAGCGAGTGGAGCTGAAAAGGAGACGTTGCACTCGGAGTGGTTGCTCCTCCTGCCTCCTGCTTTACCTCCTGCCCTCCAAAAGAACACACTTAATTTGAAAATAGAATTTTGCCCTCTTGGCAAGGGCCAAAAGTTTTTTCCGCTTGTCTTTCGCCCATTACTTGGCCATTGATTTCAATTCCATTTCGCCCATTGGCTTTAGCTCCCAGCCGCACTCCATCCGTTTTTTCCATACGGTTATTATTTAATGTGCAATTCGGAAAATATGTTAATTTTGGTCCCGTTTTTCCGGCTCTGTGTTGGCGACTCGCTAGGAAGTATGTATGCTACAATTTCATTTGATTTTTCGTGAATAAATTTTATTATTCCATATGCTGAGACAACTTAAGGTCTTCGAATTGGGGAAGGGCAAATAGGAGGAAGTCAGGTGGATGGGGCATGCCCCCGTCCGAGTCTACTTCCCGAGTGTACTATCAGGATCAATTTGGTTCAATGTGTCTAGGTTCGGGTCAGAGACTTAGTGGCGGTGGCGGTAGCGCAGACGGCGCACTGTCTTATAGCGGTAGCCGTCCTTTGCGAGCTCCGTTCCCTCCTCAGCGGTCTTGGGCTCGGCCTCGACAGCGGCAGCCTCGGCGGGGGGCAAGTACTCCCCGTTGGGAGCGGCCTCGGCGGCAGCCTCCTCGGCGGCAACCTCACGGCGGTGGCGGCGGAACTTGAGGCGGCGCACGGTCTTGTAGCGGTAGCCGTCGCCCAGGACGGTCTTCAGCTCGGGGGCCAGCTCCACCTCCACGGGCGGCAGGTACTCGTTGATGGGCTCAGCGATTTCGGAGACGTCACGGCGATGGCGGGCACGGAACTTGAGCTTGCGCACTGTCTTGTAGCGGTAGCCGTCGTCGGCCACTTTTGTGTCCCCGATGGCGGCGGCGTCCACGGGCGGCAGATACTCCTGGCTAGGGGCGCTCTCCACCGGGGGAAGGTACTCCGGGTTGGGTAGCTGGGCGGCTGCGAAGGCCACCAGACAGACGGTAAGGGCGGCAATGAAGAGTTTCTGCACGGAAATTATGGGTTGTTATTAATGTCAATTCAAATTTACAGAAACTTAATACAAAAGTTAGAATTCTGAATGAATTGATTATTTAATATGTATTAATTTCAGGGAAAACGAGAAGCTTCCTTGGGCCTATACATAATACTCACCATTCTGAATCTATAGTTCTTAGGATATTGACGAACTATTCGAACTGACTGAAGATGTTGCTGTGTCGCTAGTATTGAACCCAATGATGCCTTGCTCCAATTCGGCCCGCGACTTTATAGCTTGATTTTGGCCGGGCCGCTGGAATTAAATTTTCATAACCAATCTCTGTGGTAGGTTGAACTCAGTCTAAAAGAAATCGTGGCATCCGAGTCGAGTGCTCATCAAAGCCAACATCGGACTCTATTAACCACTTAAGCGATGGCGATGACGATGGCTTTGGGTTTCGGTTGCCGGATTCATCGATCCGCATTCGGCCGCGCACTTGAGCACAATTATTTTTGGATCTGGTTTTCGATGTGAAGTGTCTCGCCCATTCGTGTGGCAGCAATGACTAGTGAATGCTGCTCGATGGAGCTAATGTGTGAAAGCCTTGTGGTAGCAAATGTGCTACATAGCGGCGTACTCCTGGCTGAGTTCCGTGAGTTTCACCAGTCGCTTTCCGAGCACTTATAACAGCCACTTCGCGAGTTCTTTACCATATTAAGTTAGTATTTCGGCAACACTCTTGAAATCTGACCTTGAATACGAATACATTTTTGGCAATTTGTTTCCTGAATGTTTGAGTGCCCCTTGAGGTAAAAATGATTGAGGGCCTACTCGGGCAAGAGAATCGCTTAATTGTTTATCCCATACGTACCTATAGCTAACTCTACTGTCAATAGAATATTACTGTAGCAGACTTTTTATAGCGATAATCGTAGATGCCGTGAGATCATGCTGCAACGTCTATTTTTTGCCCTCTACTCTAATATTTTTGGCAAACTTTCAACTATTTATAAAGCACCTCGCCTCAGGCATTGATAAAGTGGCCCAGTGCATCTGTAGCTTCAGTAAGCGATAATCAGTATAATTTCGAACACTCGGCAAACACAGAAAACAGGCAAATATAAATGATGACAGCGACAATCAGCAATAACAATAATATGCAACTCTGCCAAAATGTATGCATTGAACAGGCTTCTGGCGTTTACTTGTCCAATCGTCCACTCCATTCCAATCACTTTATTGCTGGTTTAAGCGAATGTTGGTAGTCAGCAGGCAGCAGTCGGCAGGACACCTTCGTGGGATATGTTTTGCATTAAAATGAAATTAAATGGATGCAGCTGCGTTACTGGCTCTGTTGATACTGTCATTGTTGAACAACCGTTGCTGCTGCTGCATATTTAATAGGCATCGAGGATGCGTGGCGGGTACCTTGTTGGTTGATGCCTGAAATTGACCATCCTCGCCCTTTAAGCCTATTTAAAGTGCAGTACAGGGGCTGGTAGGCCAGGTCGACTGCTTTATATCAACAGAAGTAACATTCATACATTTCGCAGATCCACAAAATGAATTTTTTTCAATTTTCCACAAACAATTTTTTGGTGCTCCTGGTTAAATATCTCTTCACCATCAGGTTCCACGGCAAGCAAAGAAGAAATTTTGATATTTGACGACTGTTTGAATTTTTTGTGATCCATATAAAGGGTGGGCCCTAATAACTGTCCCACCTTTTTAAAGCCAACGCAGACCTGAAACAATTTTGAATTCTTCTTACATTTATTGTTGAATAATTTATTTAGCCCATTGGTAAATAGTTAGTATAAGAAAGCCAACGGAGAGCTGATTCAGAAATGACATGTGCAAGCAAAAAACAAGTCAGATTTCTCTGACCAGTTAGAATCTATTAAGTGCAACTTTTTCAAAAAAGTTCAAAAAGTGGAGATTTGTATAAGCCCGTTCAATTTGGCTTTTTTGATGTAGGATTTGTAAACTCAAAAGGGCAAAATGTTCAATCTAATTCTGATCTTTGAGAATAAGGGGCTTACTTTGGACATTTTAAGTCCATACCTAGCCTAAAACCTGAGAAAATAAGTTTGTATGTGATTTTAAATATGGAGCATCCAAATATTGAGTCAACTTACTAAACATTTTTTTCACAAAGTTTTAGACTGCCCTTATAAGTTTTATAAAAATCACTCAAACGATGAAAACAAAAATATTTCATTGTTACTATAATAAACATGTAGTAAACTTGAATTAATAACAAATATTAATTATTCTTTAAAACGACTATTTATAGCCTCTATAGATATATTTAAAACAAGAAAGGAAAGCTAACTTCGGGCGGAGCCGAAGTTGATATACCCTTGCAGAATATTCTGTAAATTATATTCTCCAAAATTATTCATATGATGCATTCTTAACACTCATAAAAAATCCCAACTTCTTAACTTTAAAAACACCAAAGTTAAGGCATTTACAATCGTTCAGTTATATGGCAGCTATAGAATATAGTCGGCTGATCCTTATGAAATTTGGTAGGTCGGATTGATTGGCCAAATATGAAACCCATAGGAAATCCCAACTTCCTAACTTTACAAACACCAAAGTTATGGCATTTCCGATCAATCAGTTATATGTCAGCTATAGGATATAGTCGGCCGATCCCGGCCGTTCCGACATATATACTGCGTGCAAAGGAAAGAAGGGTGTGTGCAATGTTTCAATTCGATATCTTTAAAACTAAGAGACTAGTTCGCGTAGAAACAGACAGACGGACAGACGGACATGGCTATATCAACTCAGGAGGTGATCCTGATCAAGAATAAATATACTTTATAGGGTCGGAGATGTCTTCTTCACTTCGTTGCACACTTTGGACCAAAATTATAATACCCTCTGCAAGGGTATAAAAAAACAATAATGGTTTTTTATCTTCCGATCAATTTTGACACCGTTACTTCTAAACGACTCATTGATGAAGGTATATTGAAGTGAACAAATGAATTCAAATTTGTGCCACAAAACAGCTATAGTTAGATGTTTAGAAATATCGAAACCAATACTTTTGGCCGAATCTCAGCCTCCGTGGCCCAGTGTGCTTTGCAAGCCATATGATCTTCTTGTTATGTCCTTAAACGGTATTAAACGGAAGACCGTTTAAATTAAATCGCATTATCTGCTTGTGCGTGGGCTCGTTTGTCGTTCCGAGCGGCAATCTGCCTAAGTGAAGGGTTTGGGGGCCATGTGTACACACTCCTTGCCTTCGACGTCGCTGCCTGCCACGATAATGTGTCATTACATTAAAAGCTTTGCAAGTGCGCCACCTACCGGCCATAGGCTGCGCAGCCTTGACTCCCCCGACCCGACTTGCCCCGCCCACTTAGCTAAACCAAACACCGCTGTGTCGCCTGGGCTGAAAATTTCATTAGCGTTTCTACTTTGTGGCTGTGTTGTGTTTGGTCATAAAACTAAGATGCCAATGGGAATTCGCCGCAGGTTTGTTTGAGAGCCTGTTTGTGTGTCTCCTTCAAATGCAGCCAGCAAAGTAGGCAATTAATTTGTTAATTGGCGTGAATATTGTTAGTCAAATTGAAGGCAATTGACGAGCATGGCCATGGCCGAGGCCGAACTGCAGAGCGAGTCATTTCCGGAGCAAATTGAGTTTTCGCACTGTCCCCTGCAACGAACTAATTTGTCCAGTTGAGTGGATTTGGGACAGTTGACATGCGACAGTCCAACATTGTATTAATGAAGAGGCGGGCTGGTGCTGGGAGCCGAAGATATGAGATTTGATTTCCGTTAGGTTTCCTCTGTGCCTCTCTAGAGGCCCTCTGCTCCTTCACAACCCATTTATATAGCCCCTTGATAATGCAAATATATTCCTTGTTTTATGCGTGCCTTTTCACCTATTCTTTTTGGGATAAGCATTTGCATTCGCATTTTATGAATCCTTTTGGCCAAATGCGGCCACCATTGTTTTTATGGTCGCCACATGTCGGTGATATTTTTGTTATTATGCATAAGGCCATTTTATGGCCTTTTGATCTTTTCATTACGGTCATCAAAAAACACAAAGTCCTGGCTGGCTTTTTTCGTCTGTCCCCATTCCGCTTACACAAAAGGCCAAATGCGATTTCACGGCCATGTTGGCTGTTCACATATTTGCTGGCGTTGCTGCAATAATCAAGAGGTGCGAGCCGTGCAACAGTGCGTATTATGAATTTGGTTAAACGGTTAGGTGCGTCCACGTTTTGGACCAAAACTTAAATGTGCTTTAACCGCACCTGCAAATTCATTCGTTTGCGCTTACTTTCATATGTGACGTGTGTGCAAAGGTATATAGCAGGAAAATTCGTTTATTTTGTCATCGGGTACATGCTGTGCGTAATACACTCAAAATAAAATTATGACTTAAAACATTAAAAATTACATTTTTGTCTTCAATGGCATCATACCATAAATTCTTTTTTGTACATTAATAGCGTTTCGTTTCTAATTGTCTGTAAAAAAAAATTTATTTTTTATACCCTTGCAGAGGGTATTATAATTGCAGTCAAAAGTTCGCAACGCAGTGATATATTCTTGATCAACTTAGTCCCTCAGTTTTAAAGCTATCTGCTTAAAACTTTCGCTCCTATATCATATAGGTCCCATGGGAACAATCGGAAGAAAAAATTCCAAAAATTTTAAATTTGTTGTTTTTAATTTTTTTTTGGGATTTGATAATATTTAAATATTATGGAATTACGATTTTAATTAAATTAAAATCAGACAACAATATCATATAGCTGCCATAGAAACGATGGCAAAATGCAGTGCAAAATCGATATAGTTTCATTGTTTTTAGTACTATAGGCATAGATATCGTCGTTTTTGTAATAACTGCAAGGCTTGCCGAAGTTAGCTTCCTTTCTTGTATTAATTCTAATAATATAAAGTTATGATGTATTCGTTTTGAATATGTACTATATGTTATCTTGATTTTTGGAAGCATTTCAGATCTTCATACACATAGAAGTCTAACCTGGAGAGAGAAAATAAGTATAAATATTATTTATTTTAACATTAAAACAGTAATATCTGATACGTAGATACATATGTGAAAAATAATTTTATTGCTATTTGTCCGTCGGTCGGAATCGATCCCAGGTCTCCCGCGATTGGGTTCGACGACATCCTATTGCGCCAGTCTATTTGTATGTGCAATTCTACGGGTCATGCAATCGATATATTTGAAATACATTTTCTTAGATGATTATAAATTGTATTATGACATATAATATTT